TGATGATGTGGTTATCAGAACCCAAGAAAGATCTTAACATCACCAATGACCATGATGATGTGATTATCTAGACCCAGACATCCTGGAGAATAAAGTCAAGTGGGCCTTAGGAAGCATTGCTAACAATAAGGCTTGTAGAGCTGAGGGAATTCCAGCTGAGCTATTTACATCCTAAGAGCAGATATTGTTAAAGTGCTGCACTCAATATGCCAGCAAATTTGGAAAACTCAATAGTGCCCACTGATTTAGAAAAGATCACTTTGTGTCCTGTCCTCAAAAAGGGCAATGCCAAGGAATGTTCAAGGGATGGAACAATTGCACTCATTTCACATGCCAGCGAGGCTGTGCTCAAAATTCTGCAAGCTAGGCTTCAGCAATATATGAACCAACAATTAGCAGAAGAGCAGGCTGGTTTTCAAAGAGGCAGAGAAACTAGAGACCAAATTTCCAGGATTTGTTGGATTATAGAGAAAGCAAGGGAGTTTCCAAAAAAAATCTATTTCTGTTTCTTGGAGTACGTCAAAGCCTTTGACTGTGTGGATCACAACAAAATGTGGCAAGTCTTCAAAGAGATGGGAGGACTAGATCATGTTACTTGTCTCCTGAGAAACCTGTATGCAGGTCAAGAAACAACAGTTAGAACCGAACATGGAACAATTGATTGGTTTAAGATTGGAAAAGGAGTACGTCAAGGCTGTATATTGTCACCTTATTTATTTAATTTATATGCAGAGTACATCATGTGAAATGCCAGGCTGGACGAATCAAAAGCTGGAATTAAGGTTTCTGGGTGAAATATCAACAACCTCAGATATGCAGATGATGCCACTCTATGGCAGAAAGTGAAGAGGAATTAAGAAGTCTCTCGATGAGAGGAGAATGTAAAAGCTGGCTTGAAGCTTAACATCACAAAAACTGAGATCTTGGCAACTGACCCCATCATTTCCTGGCAAATAGATGGAGAAGAAATGGAAGCAGTGTCAGATTTTTAATTCTTGGGCTCAAAGATCACTGCAGATGGTGACTGCAGCCATGAAATTAAGATATGCTTGCTCTTGGAAGGAAAGCTCTGGCAAATCTGGACATCTTACTATAAAGCAGAGACCTCACCTTGCCAACAAAGGTCCATGCAGTCAAAGCTATGGTTTTTCCGGAAGTAGTGTAACCCAGATAGTACACTGAGAAAACAGCCACTTTGCTTTACTTTGAAGGAGGTGGATCATTTTGAAGCTTGGGATACTTGAGGGAGGGTAGATTTAGGTGAAACACTGCCAGGGGACTTTTGGACAGACTGAAGATCAGGAAGGGATGGGAAAGAGGAGCATGCCAGGAGCTTATAGAGGAATAAAATGGCAGGTGTAATGACAGGGCAGCAAACACAGACTTGACTCGCTTTGGGGCCTTTAGCATGGATACCATTGAATTGTGGAAAAGAGTTCTGTTCTGAATCTATATATCAGAAGAAATATTTTCTTCATTCCAGTAACTTATCCAGCTCTGTGCAGGGCATTATAATGGCTACTTGGAGAAGGCATCGTCTCTGCCTTAGAGAATCTTACCATTTTGTAGGAGGAAAAAAAGCATGTCCGTTGATAAATAGAACATGAATTCTAATATGTATGCATAATAAGTATAAAGAACTGTAAGATGAGATGAGGAAGGAGTCACTTCGAGACAGGAACATCAGAAACCAGGATTAATGAAGAAGAGGGAACTTTAGCAGGGCATGGAAGAATGGGTCCAGGTAAAGATGGAGGTGTGAAGGCAGAGTGCCAAGAGGAAGGTATTCCAGGGATAGGGGACAGTGTGAGTAAATGCATGCTACTGTGAGCATTTAATTTAATTAAATTAATGCTTTTCTATTACAGTTTGGACCCTATCATTGTGAATGTAGCTAACCCAGGAGTGAAATTTACAACCGTCCTCTTTGCTAAAAATACTGATTGTATTTTAATTGGTGATAGTGAAGGACAAGTTATCGTATATGAATTGAAGAACATGCCGATTTACACAGAAAGCGGCCGGGTATGACTCAGAACCAGAAAATATATATAATTGATGATTTAAGAGTTCTCCAAAGTTGTTTCCTTTCTCTCCTGTTTCTCCACTTGGCGTATCTGTTGATGAAATATCTGTTCTCTAGAGGCACATCATGACTCATTCAAAGGTTTTACAGATAATAATTTGGCAAGCTTAATAATTTTCTCTTTGAGCTTCAGCCTTCTCATTACGATTGTCCAATCAGAGGGGAAGGATCCTTATTCTGTTAGCTTCATTCTGTATTCTTATTAGGGGCGGCTAGGTGGCGCAGTAGATAGGGTGCTGGGCCTTGAGTTAGGAACAACTGAGTTCAAATGACACTTACTAGTTGTATGACCCCGGGCAAGTCACTTAACCCTGTTTGCCTCAGTTTCCTCAACTGTAAAAAGAGCTGGAGAAGAAAATGTCAAACCACTCCAGTATCTTTGCCAAAAACACCCAAATGGGGTCACAACGAGTGGGACGCCACTTAAAGGACTGAATAACAACATTCTTTTATTAAAAACTTTCAAAATCCCCTTGTATATTGACAAAATTTCAAAAGTAAATGATTTCCTCAGACATTATTTTTAGTTAGATATTATCATTTGGGATTAGTGGGGCAGAATCATTTTTTCAAATTTCTTTTGGTTTCACAGTTTTTTAAATGCTCTGAATTTTATATTTCTACTAAAAGCCATCTGTAATAAAAGCCAAAATAAAATATTTTTATTGTTTTACTGTAGATTATATTATAACAAACAGACCTTTTTTTTCTTATGAGCAAGTTTAAAGTAACACATGGGAATTCTAGTACATAGGATGGCTCGTGTCTTACATGGGCCTTTTAAAAATGAGTTACCTTGGACTACAAAAGTGTCTGATCCAAAGAACTTCATGAAGCTGGATTATAGCTTCATGAGAAGTTCAAAAGTACCTCCTTTGACTTGACTGCTGACTTTAATACCAGAATTTAATCTGGGGAATATAGTATTAGCACCTCATTCTCATCCATTGTAAGAAGGATTGTAATTGCCTCATTCAGTTAGGGTTTTCATAGCTGATAATATAATTTTGTTGTTCAGTCATTTTTCAGTTGTGTCTGACTCTTGTGACCCCTGTTGGGGTTTTCTTGGCAAAGATACTGAAGTGGTTTGCTGTTTCCTTCTCCAGCTCATTTTACAGATGAGGAGACTGAGGCAAACAGAAGTTAAGTGACTTGCCCAGGGTCACACAGCTAGTAAGTGTCTGAGGCTGGATTTGAACTCAGGAAGACTTCCTAACCCCTGATCTTCCTCTACCCCTGATAGAGAGCTTTCTGACCAGCTCTCTATCCACTGTACCACCTAGCTGCCTCTGATAATATAATAGCATTTTTCCCCCAGTCAAGCAATTATTAAGTGGTTACTACATGTTAAGCACTGTGCAGAGGCACTAGGGATAAAAAGACAAAGATGAAATACTCCCTGCCTTCAAGAAGCTTACTTTCTCAATGTGTTCACGTATAAGTATATAAAGTTAAATATACGTATTACATATAAGATGATTTGGGGAGGCAAGGCACTGGGAAAGGGGTTGGAATCTATAAATAGTATTTAACATAATTAAACTTATATAAGTTATTTAATTTGTCTAAGAATTTGGCACCCCAGAATAATTTTTTGTAAACTAGTAGAATCATAGAGTTTTAGCACCGGAAAGGATCTTGTATAGATGTACACATGTGGTTTATTTACTCCTCCTCCTTCCCCCACCATTTTATAAATTAAGAAACTAAAGCCTAGAGAAGGTTATGACTTGCTCAAGGGCATCAACACCAAATTGCACACGTGGAAATTCTTGCAAAATTATTTATCAAGCTTTATTAAAAGGAACATTTATAGGAAAGAATTAGCTTATAATAGAAAGTGAGCATAATTGTTTTTTTAAAAAACCCACCTTGACTAGTTGACATTTTCCATTCTTATTGGTTCACACACACACACACACACACACACACGCACACATATATAATTAGCTTAGAATGGAAAATGAATATAATTGTTTTTTTTTAAAACACCTTGACTAGTAGACATTTTCCATTCTTATTGGTTGACTTATATATATATATATATATGTATACATATATACATACATATACATATATGTCACTACTCCATTGCCTGTGAATGATGTTTTAGAAATGACTTCACTTGGATTTTTCTAGCATTGTAATTATTTGCTTTGTTTTCTCTTTCTAGGAGGATGCCATTGACCTTTTACTTGGACCTGAGGCACATAGTGTTTAGTAATTTGTTGATGCTGATTCTTTTTATAAAGAGAAAATAGACTGTTTTTTTTTATATCAGATAGCAGCTATCTTCTGTGCCTTAGATTGACTGTTTGATTTTGGCTTAGACAGAACATTGCATGTATTTTTACTTTATAATTAATTTAAGCATAAATCAAATGAAAGGGTTATTGGCACATCTTATGTGTGATTTAAACTGATTGTATAGAACTGTCAGCAGTTCTCCAGCTTTCCCACGGAAACTCTCAGACCATGGTAGTGAAATTACCTATCATTTAACTGGTGTAACTACAACCCAAATTATAAGAAAAATACTCTGGCTTTAATAACATAACTTGACAATTATTTTTAGATTCCAGACTTTGCTGTGTATTAACAGTAAAAAGTCCTAAGGGCTCTGATTGAAGAATAATTCTTCATCTAGTGTTTATAAAACTCTGATTGCTTTCCAAAGTGCTTATGAATTAAGTTTCTTTCTGATTCTTTAAAAATAGTCTGGGCATTTGATTACCCTGTTTACCAGGGATAGGAGTTTTCTCCTTGAATCGGTTAGGTTGTAATTCTTGGTTAGATTACATGACAGTAGTTTCTTACAGGTCACACTTAGTACTTGGGAGAAGCTATTCCAGAACATGTCAGACTAGCAGATTGGGGTTAGGCTCCCTCACAGACCTGGCACAGAACAGATAAGGTTCTGGGCATCTCCTCACCAGAAGGCCCAGAAGCTGATGTTGGACTTGAGAGTCCAGACGGAGATGTGCTGAGGGGGAGGTCCAGAATAAATAAAATACTACTAGTATTGAGCTAGAGAACCTCTGTGGTATTAGGTTCATTCTGAGGGGGATTCAGAGGGATACCATTTGAGCACAACCTGGCCAGTCCATGGTAGTCCTTGGTTTTCCTTTTTTAATGGAGTCCTGGAATTGGCCCAGCTTTCCAGGAATTCTCCAGGTTGTGGGTGGATTAGGACCTCACTAGGTAACCTCTGTAATGACCTTAGTGTCCTAGGTCCCCAAGAAAGCCTGGGCAACCAGAAACAGGGACACCAACTTGCCAACAAGCCCCGGTGTTTGGTGCTCGTGTTCAATGTTCATGATAGCTTCTATAAACAGCATTGTTTTTGATTTTGTTGAAACTTTGAATTTTATTGACCCCTGGCATTTATGTGATCCTGGGGCATTTTTTAAAATTGTACAACAACTTACCAAGTGGAGGTGAAAAGACGGCAATGATTCAGTAAATTCCCTGTGAAATGTTGGGTTCCGTTAAGCATCGACTCAGTGCAGCTTGAGAGCTCTTGTTCTCACCCATTGTGCTCAGTTATCTCAACCACAAAGAATTATTAGTGTTATTATGTTCTTTTGGGCTCATCTCTTAGACAAGTAAACCACTCACAAAAAGTAGCTTTTGAGTTTTCTTAGGATGAGGCATTTTAAAAATCTCTTAACAGTGTGGGCAATGACTTGATTCTTTGTCGTGTTGTCTTAAAAACCCGATCTTTATATGACTCTGCTGACAAATGAATAAAGGCTTGATGCATTTGCTCATTCCTCGTCTGGAGAAGTTTCATGGTATTTTTTATGGTCGTGATTGTTCTGATCTTTAAATTTCTCAGTCATTATGATCACTTTGCCCACCGAGGAATACTCTGACCTAAAGAACACCGTACTGATCCATCCCTCCTAAAGGCATGATGGTAGAAGTATATGCTGTAGTGGGCGTGGGTGAGGAAAAAGTCTTTGGGACTCCATTTCCCATGCTGCTCATGGCCAAGAGAGTGTCAGTCATCGGGAGAAATTCTGTGGGCATCAATTTCCCAAAAGGCTGTAGATTTTGCTTCCTTCCTGTGGTATCCTTAAACAAGCGCTGTGATTGGTGGGGAATCTTCTCAGAGGCAGTTAGTCTGAAAACTGGGCTGTTGCAGATAAATGAGGGTGGTGACTGGGGAGACAAGCCATACGCTGTGGTGGGAGGAGGGCAATGGAAGGGGGGCCCCTTTGGAGCAGTATGGCCATGGGGTCCGAGAATCCAAGTGGACTGGGCAGATGTAGACACTTCCAGGACTGAACCCAGAGGCCTCATCAGTTCTCCTGGGATCGACTCTGGACCTGTGACTTCATTAATGGAGGGAGCTCCCATGTAAGGAAACTCCTTCTACCAGTGTAGGCCAGCCCTTTCCCCACAACTTAGTCTTGGAGAATTGCCTACTGAAAGAGAGTGACTTTCCCAGCTCATCCAGCCAGCCCGTGTCAGAAATAGGACCTGAACCCAGGTCTTCCACATGCCAAGACCAGCTTTCTTTCCACTACACCAGGTAGAACTTTTCCAAATGCTACATGGCCCTCCATCCTTGAAAGGACAAATCTCAACTGCTTGACCATAGGCTCTTTTTTTTAAACTTTGACTAATGATAATAATAATTAGCATTTATGTAGGGCTTTTAGGGCTTGCAGAATACATGTTATCTCACTCAATTCTCACCATAACCCTGTCAAAGTGCTATCATTACACCCATTTCACAGATGTGACAACTGGGGCTGAAAGGGGTAAGCGAGTAGCCTGAGGTCACACAGCTAGAAAGTGTCTGAGAAATGAATTTAAACTCAGATCTTCACACTCCAAGCCCTGTGCTCTATCCATTACTCGGTGTGAATGGACGATTCTGGACCCTTATCCACAATCCAAACAGGACTAAAAGAAAGGAAACCAAATAAAACAATCCCAGATCAGCTTGTCATTCCCACACCTAAACCTGGAAGAACCTGATTGGTGTCACCACAGGCTGTCAATTGAATAGCTGTCCTCTGGCTTTGATCATCAGCTGCAGATTGAAAGAGACTGGAGGAGGAATGTGGCAAGATGGGGCAGAGGGAAACTAACTGTGATTCACCCAAGATCCCTGCTAACCGGCCCAATTCCCCATAGTAACCAGCATCCCCCTCCCTCATTTGCTGAAACTGAGGCAAACAGAGGTTAAGTAACTTGCCCAGGGTCACATAGCTGGCAAGTCTCTAATGCTCGATTTGAACTTGGGTGCATACTGTCTCCACTGGCACAGATTAACTTAGCAGATGGTCTTTGAGAATTTCTGCCCCTGAATTTCAACGCCTCCTCCAGAGGTCTGCAACATTCTAATAGAGATGCAGCAGACCTAGTATTCCTGTGATTTTTGAACAGAATTAGAACCTCTAGGAATATAATCCATTTTAATTTAGCATCCACCCTATATGTGTCTACTATATGCCAGGAGCTGGGGGTGCAAAAATGTAAAACAACACATTTTACATGGGTCCCTGATTTTGAGGACAATCTAACCATTGTGGTTGAGGTGGGATCTAATTTGTATACAAAATGTTCTAGAAAGTAGGCTGTACCAAGGGTAAAGGAGAAAGATAAAAGTGATGATACTAACAATAACAATAGCAATGACAATAACAATACTGGTAGTGTGGGGTCGTGAATAGAGAGCACCAATGTGGTGGTGCTCTATCCACCACACCTCCTAGCTGCTCGTAATAGAACGCAGTGCCCTCTCCTCCTGCTTTTCAGTGCTGGGCTCACTGCATTGTCCATCCAGAGCACTGGGCCAAATAGCAAGTACTGATTGATACGATCAAAGGCTTGCCCACAGAATGCATTTCTATTCTTCCCTTTTGGGGGACGCTAAATGGGAGCTTAAAACTAACATAGAAGGAAGTCCAGACCTGGGGTGCCATATTGGGTTTTAATGAGCCAAAGAGTGTAAGAAAAGGCAGACTAAACCTTTTCTAGGAAGGACAGGGCCTTCTCTCCTTAGAACTGAATCCTGTCTGATCAGATGCTTTGGTCCAGAGCTGAGGGGTCCCGTAAAGTGAGGGAGATGGTACAGTGCCCCTGTCTATGCAGGCCCAGCCTGGGTCTTTTAGACACAGAGATCTCATATGATCTCTGAGGGGCTGATTCTCAACCTCCTGTGTTTATTCTTTTCTGAGAGCCTCTAATCCCATGGGTCAGAGACTCAATGACTTTATTTTCTGTCCTTTGGAACGAAGCCTTTTATCCTCTCACTGGGTGAGTTTAGAACTCCCTTTGGTTTGGTCAGTGCATTGTTAAGGATCCATTAGGAAAGTTTTAGGTCCCCAAATTGACAAGGATCCAGAGAAGACTTTTTTATGAACTTTCAATGGAGCCATGATATGTATAAAGAGATCCCTGGAGAAACTCTGTGTGTTGGCTGACCCCCTGTGCTGAAGGAATCCTGAAAGAATTTTGACCTGGCCAGGAAAGTTTGCTTTGTCAGTTGAGGGTGAAGGTGTGATTTCCAGTTCACCCCAGGTCCCTAATCTCTTGTGAGCTGAACCTGTTGGCTTCTGAGGGTACATTTAACTCTAGGGTTTCTCACCCTGAAAACTTGATTTTTCCTCTATTTCCCTCTATTTTTTCTCTTTGGTTGGTTGGATTTTAGGTTCTCTGTTTTTTTCTCCATTTGTTTGGGTTGGGACATGCCCTTTTCAGGTACCAAGCAGGCAGAATGACCTCTGATATGCTTTGTAAAATGTCTTTTATTTAATTCACATCACTTTGTATTCAGGAGTGATTGTGATCTCCAGTCCCCCCAGCTGTGGTAGGTCAAGATCCTCCCTGGAGACCTTCGTCGGAAGTAGTTGTCACTAAAGAAAGAGTGGCGTTTACTGGTGGCCTAAACTTAGAGCCATAAAACCCAACCCAATGTGTGCTCAACAAACATTGTTTGGTGAGCATCCATCCAATAGCAGGATGGGTCCTTCGGTATAAATCAGCCTTGAGCACCAGGACTCCCTCATAGCCAGGTGCTGCTGCCCTTCCAGGTTCCCCTTTGGGTTCTCATTCGCTCAGCAGCACCATGAAGGGTTCCATCTGGGCTTTCTTCTTATTGTCGGCCATGGTGGCCATCTCTGGAGTGAGAGGCAAGGAGGCGATGAAGTTTTGTGGGCGAGATTTCATTAGGGCTATCGTCTACACCTGTGGCAGCTCTCGTTGGAAAAGGGACCTTCAGGGGGCTCTTGAAGATGGTGGTAAGAGAAGGGGGGTGTTGTTGTTTCCTGTGGTTTAGATGGCCTGACAAGGCCGGACAAGAGTAAACTACACTTAGGGACTTGTCCAGTAGGGCAACCAGGAAGGTAGAGAGCCTTGGGGCCAGGCCAGATGAGGTGAGGTGGAAGGAATTGGGCATGTCTGAAAAAAAGGAGACCTGGGAGGGACGTGGGTGGCTGAGGGATGAAGCTCATTCTCCTTGGCCCCAGAAGGCAGAACCTGGATGGAGGTGGGGGGAGGTGGGGAGAGGTCCCAAAGTGCCGATGTGGGCTTGCTCCCTCCCAAGGGGAGCTGCCCCAAAGAGGGGTGGGCCGCCTTGAGATGTGGCGGGTGTGCCTTCCAGTCTGGGTGCCCACTTGTTGGATGTGTTAGAACAGTGGTTCCTTCTGCATGAGGGTTGGACAGGAAGGCTCCTAATTCCCTTTCTAGTTTGACGTGGACAAGCCAGCCAAGCTCAGCCCAAGCCCCAGAGGGCAGGCCCAGGTACGATGGGATGGAAGATGCAAAAGCAAGTTTAGACTTGGTGTCAGGAAAACTTCCTAAAAATAGGAGCTGTCCTGATGTTAGCAGCTCGACTTGGTCCTCCCCCCCCCCCTTAGAGGTCTTTGGGCAAAGGCAGGATGGCCACATGTAAGTCATATGACCTTGGGTAAGTCCCTTATTCTGCCCCGGCCTCAGTCTCCTCTGGTGTGGAATGGGAAGGATAGTGACCTTTGCAGGGGCTGCCTCTTAGGAGTGTGGTGAGGACCCGTCAACAGGCATTTATTAAACTCTCACTATGCATCAGACACAAGTGCTTGGGATTCAAGAGCACGGCGAAAGGCAGTTTCTGCCCTCACCTTCACATTAGGAAGAAGATGTGCAAAATACTGTGCATCCAAGGTCTATCCAGCGTGGGTGCAGGGTACCCTGAAAGAGGAAAGAGGAAAGTGCTGGCAGTGGGAGCCTGGGCCCAGCCCCATACAGAAGGAGGGGTTCAAGCAGAGCCTGATAATGAGAGCCTGGGTCTAGACAGCCCTTGAAGGTTTGCAAAGTGCTTTACAAGTACGAGACCGTCCACCCTCACCACAACCCTAGGGGGGAGGGGGAGGAGTGTTACTATCCCCATTTCACAGAGGAGGAGAATGACTTGCCAGTTAAGTTAAAGTGAAATGACTCGCCAGGCTAACACAGCTACTAAGTGTCTGAGGTAGGATTTGAACTCAACTCTTCCTCACTCCATGCCCAGCACTCTATGTGCTTCAAGGTCTAATTTATTTAAAAAATTGTGTTTGTTTTTTTTTTTTTAAAATAACACTCACAAGCATGTGTGTTTTTTTTTATATTTAGAGATTCAAATTTCAATCAAATATTTTCTACATTTCAACCATTTCTGGGGATTGGACTGCTATTTTTTATTTTAATTTTTAATTTTTTTGAGTTTTTTAATACAATAAATGCTTTTGTCAATGGTACGGTGGAAATGAGCTCTGGATCTAGAGTACCAGAACCTGGGTTGGAATTCTGACCCTGGACCTCCATCTTCATCTGCAAAGTGGGGGGGGGGGGCTGGACCAGCTGCTCTCTGCTGGTGCTTCCAGCTCTCAGCACAAAAAGGAGATCTGCCTGGGGACCAGCGGTCCCTCGGGGTCATTCCTGCTCCAGATCTGTGCTCCTTTGATTCCGTCTTCTTTTATCCCTTGAAATCTAGTTGAGTCCCAACCAGACCCTCAACAGTGAAGGCCAGTCCAACGATGGTTGTTATTTTCCCACTTTCTGAATGTGGAAAGGTCTCAGATTTGCCCTGACTCCACCTCCCTCTAACGTAGCCATATATGTGTTTTTTGTTTGTTTGTTTTTACTTTCATACAGAGGAAGAGAAAAAGTACTTTGAGGTGCCAAGCCAAAATGGAGCTTCTGATGACGTCACGGACCTCCTCTCCGTCAATTCCCCTGCCCATGAAATCCTCACGCAGAAGCAGCAACCATTAGGCACCGGGCTACGGAAGCGGCAGGCTGAGGTGGCCGATTTGATCACTTTCTGCTGCCAGACTGGCTGTACCATTTCAGAACTGGGCCGGCTGTGTTAGGACAAGACCCGGTTGGGTGGGCAGCCGGGGCTTGACCGTGACGGCCTCTTGCCTGCCTCTTCCAACACCCTGATTCCTGTAAAAATGGTGGCTTTCAAACCGATAAATAAATAAATAAATCAGCAAATAAGTCGATGGCTTTCTTCCACATGTGACCTCTCAGAAAATGGAGAGTTGGAGGTTAAAATCCAGATCTAGTTTATTCCGTTCTTTACAGCCATGTGTTTAATGTGTGTGTGTGTTTGAAACTAACACTGTACAATGTGTAGCTAATATGTGCTTCACAAACACAATTTAAAAACACTGAGCTTTTGGCTATTCCAATGATCTGAAAGTTTGCGGGTGTGGCTACTTGTAGAACTGGAGGTGTAATCAGTAATAACTTCTGTGATACAAGGGAAAGACCATTGGCCTACCAGATTATCAGAAGACCTGGGTTCAAATCTCGTCTCTGATACGCAGGTAGTACAAACTCTGGGGCTATTTCCCCAGACCTCAGGATTAAAGCCCATGTAAAAAGGGGTAACTCCCAGCTCTGGATTGTAGGAAGTCCTTTTTTTTCTACCTTGTCTGGGGGTGGGGGTATGCAGGGAGACCCCCTTAGGTATTTTTTCTGCTAGCCTCCTTGTACGGCCTCCACTCTGCCTTTTCTCATCAATTCCAGTCTATGCTCATCTCCTCTTTCAGGCACTGCCTTCAGCCAGTGCTATCCCAGGGACAATATTAGGGTATCAGTGAAAAAGTCTAAATCTGCTGACCCTTCAAAGTTTGCAAGGCCTTCCTCTGGTCAAGCGAGTGTGGTGGTAAGGAAGGAGACCCAGGCTGAGACACTCTCCTTCCCCCTACACTCCCCACCCTCCTCCTGATTCCTTCTCAGGGTTTCACCAGAGGCTTCCACCACTAAATTACTCCATCCTTGAACCCTAATGGCCAACAAGCTTAATATTTTACCAATAATCCACAGAGTGGGTCAACTTCTCTCAACCAATATGAACACTTTCTTTGTGCAAATGACACAGCAGTTCGTCCAATCGCGTTCAAAGACATTTGAATTGCTCAAATACTTTTGACCACAAAATGAGCCGATGTGTGTGTGTGTGTGTGTGTGTGTATGTGTGTGTGTGTGTGTGTATGTGTGCATTTGTACATATGGGTCCATTACCTTTTTCTTTTATCTCTTTGGGGTACAGAACAAGAGTAGTTTTGCTAGGTCAAGAGGGATACAGTTTGATAGCCCTTTGGGCATAGTTCCACACTGTCCTCTAGCACCAGCAGTGCATTAATGAACCTATTTTTCCACGTCCCCTCCTGCATTTCTCATTTTCCTTTTCTATCACATTAAGTAATCTGATGGGTGTGCGGTGCTACCTCAGAGTCATCTTAATTTGCATTTCTCTAATTACTAGTTATTTCTATCATTTTTTATATGACTGTTGATAGTTTTGATTTCTTCCTCTGAAAACTGCTTGTTCATATCCTTTGGCCGTGGCTCAATTTTTATGAATTCAAATTTATGAAATTGGCTTAGTTCTCTATATATTCGAGAAATAAAACCTTTATCAGAGAAGCTTGCTGTAAAATCTGTCCCTCCCTCCATTTCTTGCTTTCTTCCTAATTTTGGCTGCATTGGTTTTGTTTGTGCAAAACCTTTTTAATTTCACCTAATCAAAAGTATCCATTTTACCTCCTGTGATCCATTCTGAGCTTATCTTGGCACATGATGTGAGATATTGGTCTAGATCTGCTTTCTTCCTGACTGCATTCTAGTTTTCCCAGCAGTTTTTGTTGAATTGTGAGGTCTTGCCCCCAAAGCTTGGATCTTTGGGTTTATCAAACACTAGGTTACTGTGGTCATTTACTTCTCTCTACTGTGTACCTAATTCTATTGATCAACTACTCTATTTCTTATCCAGTACCAGATTGTTTTGATGATTATGACTTTGTAGTATAATTTGAGATCTGATTCCACTAAGGATTCCTTCTTTCACTTTTTAAAAAAAATTTTTTTTATTTTTAAGTAATTGAGGTTAAGTGACTTGCCCAGGGTCACACAGCTAGTAAGTGTCGAATGTTTGGTCTGAGGCCGGATTTGAACTCAGGTCCTCCTGACTCCAGGGCCGGTGCTCTCTCCACTGCGCCATCTAGCTGCCCCCTTCTTTCACTTTTTAAAAATTTCCATTCATTTCCTTGATATTCTTCACCTTTTGTTCCTCCAAATGAATTTTGTTATTTTTCCCCCCAAGGTCTATAAAATAATTCTTTGGTAGTTTGATCAGTATGGTGCTAAGTAAATTAATTCAGGTTATATTGTCATTTTTGTTACCTTGGCTTCTTACTAATGAACATTTAATATTTCACCAATTATTTTTTAAAATTTATTTATTTTTAGTTTTCAACATTTACTTCCACAAGATTTTGAGTTTCAAATTTTCACCCCATCTCCCCCCTCCCCCCACCCCAAGATGGCATGCATTCTGAATACCCCTTCCCCTAGTCTGCCTTCCCTTCTATCTCTCCCCCCCTTCTCTTATCCCCTTCCCCTTCAATTTTCCTATAGGGCAGGACAGATTTCTATACCCCATTCCCTGTGTTTCTTATTTTTTTTAACAGGTGAAAACAATTTTTTTAATATGTGTTTTTAAAACTTTGGGTTCCAAATTTTCTCCTTTCCTCCCTCCCCTCCCACCCTCATTGAGAAGGCAAGCAACTCGATACAGGTTATACATGTGTAGTCATGCAGAACACTTCCATAGTAGTCATGTTGTGAAAAACTAAGTATATTTCCCTTCATCCTATCCTGCTGTCCATTTATTCTGTTCTATCTTTTGACCCTGTCCCTCCTCAGAAGTGTTTGCTTCTAATTACCCCCTCCCCCCATCTGCCCTCCCCTCCATCATCCTCCTGCTCTCTTGTCCCCTTCCCCGCCTGTTTTCCTATAGGGTAAGATAGATTTCCATACCCTATTGAGTGTATTTCACAGTGAAGGGTTAATGTGTAAGATCTTCCGTACCCACAGCCCAAGCCAAGGGACAAGGAACTTCCCTAACGTATTGTTCTGAGATTTGTTTCAACCCAGACCCACCTTGGGGAACCATTCCTTACAAAACAAGTCTTGAGGTAAACATCCAGGGACTTGGCCAGTTCCTGGGTCTTGATCTGAGATATTTTTGGCATAACAAAGATTGTTCTTGAGGTTGGAGAGTTTCGGCCAAAACTCTCAGGCCCTTAGGATGACTCACCTGCTCCTTGGCTCCCTGCCTTCTTTGTGTAGGGATGATGAAAAGGGTCTTTCTTGGGAAAGTGACTTGGGGAGTCTCCCTCGGAGAGGATGCTCTGCCGTAGGGACTTTCCCAACCAAGACCCTGATGGCTGTGATACAGGACTCACCCAGCCAGACGTTTGGGAGTCAGTGCTTCCTTGGATTGGTGATGTATTTCTTCTTTATCGCTCTATCTTTCTGTTAATAGTCTTTGCTTCTAAGATTGTAAATCATAGGTAATCACATTTATATGCATGCATGTTTATGATTATCGCCCTTATTAAATCATTTATAAACTCAACAAGTGTGAACGTGTCTTTGTGGGTACAGATCCGAAGCTGTGAAACAAATTATAAGTGCTGCAGCCCCTAACACCTTACTGTTACAACCTGTTATTTAGATCTGTCTTTATTTGTGTGAAAAGTGTTTTGCAATTCCATGTAATTCCCATGTGTGTCTTGGTAGGTAGACTCAAGTATTTTATGCTGTCTGCAGTTATTTTAAATGGAATTTTTCTATCTCTTCCTGCTGAGTCTTGTTCATATTATATAGAAATGCTAGAGATTTATAGGGTTTTATTTTATATCCTGCAAGTTTGCTAGAGTTGTTCATTGTTTTGAGGAGTTTTTTAGTTGATCAAACAACTTGCCCAAGGCCACACAACTGGAGATGGGACTTGGACCCAGATGTTCCTTACTGCCAGGCAGGCTACCTCAACCAGTATACTCTGCATCTGGACGCCTAGATGGCACACAGTCCATAGCATGCTGGGCCTGAGTTTGAATTCTGCCTCAGACGCTTATCAGCTGTGTGATCCTGAACAAGTCAGTTAACTTCTCCTTGGCTTAGTGTCTTCATCTGTCCCATGGAGATAATAATAGCAACTACTTTGCAGGGTTGTTGTGAGGATCAAATGAAATATGATTTATAAAGGGCTTTATCCGTGGCAACTGTCATTCTTACCATCACCACACCATATTGTAAAATAATAACCCTTAGTCCAGTCCCTGGTATATAGTAGGTGTTTAATAAATGCTCGTTGACTGGACAATGCTTTTCTCCTGGCACAGAGCAGACATCTAAAAATGCACATGGCGTCGAATTAAATTGAATCAGGTTTTGAATGATTGATTTTTTGGGGGGGGGAGGGGAATCCCATCGTCTTGTGAAACTGTCTAATAAGGAATGGAAGGAGGGCATTATGGTTCTCTTTGGGAGGAGAATCACAGATCCTGAAGCAATATTAGGATTAGTAGCCTTTTCTCAACAGTGATAGGTGAGAACCATGCTTATTAAATGCTCCCTAAAAGAAAAAAACAGTTGTCAACTTTTTACAGATTACCCAGATTAGAAATTTTGTTTCCTGACACTTCCAGAAGTATCACAAGTGCAACTTGTGGGTGACAAGTTCTCTTCTATGTATTTAAACGAAAGGATGTTATCCGAGAAGACACTTGGTATTGGGGAAGGAACACTAAGCTCCTACTCCGACGATCTGAGTTTTGAATCTTGACCATTACAAACTCTATGATCTTAGGCTTCTCCTCTTCAGTCTGTTTCCTCATTCGTCAAATTAGGGTGTTGGCCTAGACGACTTCTAAGGCCCCTTCTAGATCAATAACGAGGATTCCAGGTTCTGGGAGCCTGACTCCAGTTGGTGAATGTCGCAGGCAAATGGGTCAGTCATCCTTCCATGCTTCTAAGAAGGGTGATGGTCACCAGCAAAGTGCTGAAAGTGCCCAGCTCCTTGTCTTCTCCTTCTTTTACTTGTGGCCACAACTATAAGGACAGAGTGAATTTGGACCACAAAGTCTGGGTGTCCCAGGTTTACGTGCTGCCTTTAACGCTGGCTACAAGTGTGACTCTAGGCAAATCCTGTAAGTTTTCAGTGACCCCAGGCATCTCTCAGAGACCTTAAGCTACTCAGAAGGTGCCTATCTGATTTTTATTTGTAGAGGGAGTTCTTCAGAAATGAAATCAAAGGTTTGGTTTAAATCACATGCATGCGTGTGCACACACACACACACACACACACACACACACATGCCTTGAAATCTACTCCCGATGTCAAATTGTCCTTACAAGATTAACTAAAATTTGTGGAGCTAAATTATGACCCAGATACCTTCCTTTCTAACAAAGAAATGAAAATTGGACCTTGTCCATCAGGAGAAATAAAAATGACTTTAAAAGTCATAGCAGGCAGCAAGGCAGGAATTAGAATGCATAAATTGCTGATTGTATATTGCATTGGGGAGCACAGGCCATGAATAAATCCTCAGAGCTATAAATGCATCTTTCCATTTGTGGAGTTCTTCGAGCTTAGAGCGTATTTTCCTAATACCAGCACTTGGCTGATTTCTAGTTCTGTGTGCGCAGTGTGTCTTTGACCTTCAACAAATGTCCTCTGGCCTGTCTACTCCTCATCCAAGAGCAACACCAGGACATTACTGGGTGTAAACAGGGAGCTGAAAGCTTCATGAAGTAGATGATCCACAGCCCACGCTACATTAGCCCACAAAATAACAAGCCACTTTAGCGCTGTAAATGTTGAGGCCCAGACATTCCAAACCATACAGGGTCACTTGGGGTTTCGAGTCATAGGAAGAAACCAGTCTAAGTACACAAGCTGTACTTGTTAAAGTGACAATGATATGTTTGTTTTAAGTCCTTTGGCCTGGAGAAACCAGCTCGAAAGCACTTCTGAGGGTGGCTCTTTAAGGGTCTCATCTATGCCTAGAGAGGTGGTTTGATGTGCTGGAAATGTATTTACTACTTAGCGCCATGTATATTTAATGCTGTGGGGCTTACTTTAGTGCCTTACAAAACCACTTATGGATTCCATTACTGAAGAGCTGCTACCTATCATTCAGAAGATTTTATAAAATGCACACAGCCATTGAAAGTTTCTAGTCGCAGCTCGATGACCCCGTGGGTGTCAGATGGTCAGCAGCCTGACCATCATGAATCTGACCTCAGCAGTTTCTCCTGTCAGGTGCCTAATACCAGAGTTAGGGAAAATCGCCCAATTCATTTAGCAGGCAACATGGAAGCCAGCATCATCACCAAAATAGCATGGAATCATGGTAACATTGGCTCCCAAAGTTAACGCTCCCAGACCTCCAATCTGGTGTTTGTTGATATGTGAGTAGAGGCATCTTCCCCTTGCTAAAAAATTGGGGTGATGATTCTTGGAGCCTAGTGAAGAGTTAAAGTCATCTGGTTTAAAAAGCCCTTTCCAGTAGGAACCCCTGTCTGTGAAAGAAACAAAAATATCAATCTAGTCAAAGCAAGACTTTCAGAAGTCAAGTCCCCTTTTCCCATCCTGCAGAAGAGTTCCTCCCAAGGTATTACAAAAACAGAGAGCTCTAATGTGGTTCATTCATTCATTTTTTTTTTTCCTGGAGGCGGTATGGAAGAGTGGAAAGAACATGGGATTTGGTAATAATAATAGCACCGACATCCCAGGATTGTTGTGAGATCAAAGGAGATATATTTGTAAAGCACTGCAGAAATGCTACTTATTTTTGTTATTATTATTATTATTTCTCAGTGCTCCTCCTAGCAGAATGCAAGCTCTTTGAGGAAAAGGACTTGGTATTTTGGTCTCTACATCAGTGTCTAGAAGAGTCCAATACTCCAATGGGATCTGTCATCTCAACCATTTGGCTGTTCCCTCTAGTGATGCAGATGGCAGCGATCATCCATGCCCTCCCAGAAGTTTGCCTCAGTAAGTCTGCTCAAAGTCCTGGTGGCCATTCTCAATTTCTTCTGGCAATGCAAGCATGCCAGGGAAGGACCTTTGGCCATCACCATGCAGCTGGCCCATCTTCTCTTTATATAATACAAGGGTCTTACTTTGGAGTTCACTGTCGGTTATGTCTTACCGCCTGCTTGCACTCGTGTGCCTTTCCATTGCTCAGAGTGTGATATTACTGCTTAACTTTTTGGAGATTTTTACACCCAAGAATCTTGATCCAGGATCCAAGAATTACACAGCAGGCACTTAATACATATTTGTCAAATTGAATTGAATTATGTGCAGCCCCAAACTGTGCATTGATGTCTTCACTGAAACACGTCACCCAAAGCCTATTTTTTATCCATGAAGAGACTGTTAGTCATTCCAGGTACACAGCATAGACGGTTGCTAGAGCAAAGAGAGATGTGTTTCTGAAGACGAAGGATGCAAAAGTGTCATTTGCATCGTCCCAGAGACATCGGCTCCCAATATGTAGGCTCTGGTTATTCAGTTGTCCAATGTGGATAATCACAACGAGTTTGTACCTTGGGATCATGAGGTCTTTCACCCGGGCTTTCACAACCTAGAAACAATCACAAAAGGTGATCGCTGAGCCCCTAGTGAGTTTGCCAATCTCACTCTCTTCCTGACACTGGGGAGTCAAGAAGACTTCAGCACCATTACTATAGGCAGGGTGACTTATTGTAGATATGTTAGCAATGTTCACGCTAATACCTGGCTTGGATATAGTACTTTGAGGTTTACAAACAACTTTATATACGTGAATTCATGTGAGCCTTGGAACCACCTTTTAAGGTAAGCACTCACTTCAATGGCCCCCAAATCTGTGATTTTATCCCCATATGAACACAGACCACAGCCCACTTTAACGTAGTAAATTGGTTTTAAGAACTGGGTCTGAAAAATTCATCACACACAAGTTATATGCAGAGTGTGTATAAAAGGTAATTTTGTAAAGAGGCCCTAGAAGCTGGGGTGGGGAGGAAAGGAGGTCAAGGAAGGCTTCATGGAGGAGAGAGCATTTTTTTCCCAGTTCTGCAGGAAACTAAGCCTTTGTAGCTACAGGCAATCTTTTGAACAAAGCTGATTACCTTCCCTCACTTTTGGAATTTTTGTCACCTAAGTATCATTAAATTTTATAACGAATTTGTTAAAAAATTTGCCACTATAACTAGTGGTAATCTTGTAATTTAATAATATCTAAACCATTGTCCTCCCGAGACAGCCCGAATGTGACTTCTTGTTCATTTCTGTATCCCCAGATCCTAACCATGATACAGCCCCCCCCCCAATGGTGCCAGATGATTGGCTGATGATTGATGAATAACTGTTAATTTCCTAAACACAAGTATTGTCTTCTTTGGAAAGCCACCCTAAATCATGTGTGTAGTTCAAATAAGCCAGGAACCTACCTCTGCGATTGTTTTAGTCATCTGTCTACACAATTCAGGTTCATATTTTTCTTCTTGTAGATAATTAGTTAGTACATCCTTCAAAATGTGATTGACAGCATCCACAGGAAAACATCTATCCGGGCCTGAAAGGAGAAACGTAGTATAAATATCCAAAGCACATCATTTTTCACCATCATTTAAGGAATATTTTGAACTTTTCCTTCCCTCTCATACAATCATCAGAACATTAATGAAGTGTTCCTAGCAGTGAGGACCTTGAGCCTTTGGGGCAGACTCCCACGAGGAGAGGACTCACTTGCTTCCGGAAAACCAAGCTTTTAGCTTGGCAGTGTGTGCGTCCCATTGAGGGCAGGATAGGAGGAAGACTTGGTATGCTTCCACATTTAAGCAACCAATCATTGACAAAGCATCCTGGGTGCCAGGATCCATTTGGGCAACACAGATACAACTGTAAACACAGAGTCAGCATGGGGTCATGGCGGGCAGAGTGCTGCCATGGGAGTCAGGAAGCCCTGCCTTTGGAAGGCACTGAATTTCTCTATGCCTCAGCTTCCTCATATGCTCAATGGGCAATGAAGTAACTTGTCTGAAGCCACAAAACCAGGAAATGGCAGAGCCAAGATTCGAACTCAGACCCTCTAACTCCAAATCCAGTCCTCTTTCCTACTATACCAAGATACCTTCAACTCTCAAACCTAGCGACCTGTGAGATCTTGATACAGGAGATCCAGACCTTTCATTTGCCTAAATAATGTTGGTCCTATTATGCATTTGAAGTACCTGTTCTGTTTCACAGATGGTCTTTACCTTTCTTGGAGATGGGACTATAATGAATGTAAGAGGCTCCTTGACAGCTTTCTATTTCTTGTGTTTGTTCATGCATGCTTTTGGGTTTTATCTGAGTCCTGTAGAGGGGAAAATAAGTAGCTGTCCTATCTCGCATACTGATATTGTATAATGAATAAATTTTTTTTGGGGGGAGAGAACTTTGTAACGCACATTTGAGGAGACTTTAGACATGAGCTATACCTAAGCTTAGTTTTAGAGATTTCCCTGAAGTTTTATTCTAGATTGAAGACAGAGACAGAGACTTTCTTTGGGATCAATCCCAAACCCCCAAAGTGGTTCTGATTCCACATAAGCCTAGAGGCCCTTGCTGAGGTTCATAGGGCCTTGGGCATATCTAGAATGAGACAGACAAGATAACTGAAGAAGCTCTCAACCTCTGGCCTGTGAACCTTTAAGAAATAGTTTTTAACCATATATAGCCAATATAATTGACTTCCTTTGTAATCCTATGTATTTTTATATGTATTTTATACATTGAAATATATATTTTATTGAATTTAATAGTTTTTAAAATGTACTAAATGTATATAAAATATAAAATATATTTTAAATGTGTAGAATAAAATGCATTTAAATACATTTCTATTTTTTAATGCCACTATTGGCATACTTTTTTTGAGGGTCTATACCCAATAAACATGGCTTTGTTGAAAAGAAAAAATGTATTTTGTTTATATATATATTTTGTTTTATACATTTGAAAACATTATTCTGAGAAGGCATCTTTAGGTTTCATCAGACTGCCAAGGAGTCTATGACACACAAAAAGATGAACTTTTACTCTAATATTCCATCCAGTTCTGAGTCCTGGCATTTAATAAATGCTCATTGATTGATCAGTTTACTACTATGTGGCCACAAGTGTTCCTTTCCCATCTAGAATCCTATGGACATAACAGAAATTCTTTAAACAGAGAACTTGGGGCAGCTAGATGACACAGTGGATAGAGCACTGGATCTGGAGTTGAGAAGACCTGAGTTCAAATCCAACCTCGAATACATAACACTTACTAGCTGTGTGACTCTGGGCAAGTCACTTAACCCCAATTGCCTCACCAAAAAAAAAAAAACCTTAAACAGAGAACTTATGTTTACATGACACTAACACAAATTGCTGGGTAGCAAACACTTCCCTTTAATAACTGTTCTCAGTTTTCCCTTCCACAACAAATGCCTAATCAGATAGGTTTTCTTTCCATCGAATGGGCCAGTTGTGTCCACACGATGTAGATGGAGCACCAGCATGCTCCTGTTTAGCAGAAGCAAAGGAGTATGTGTAAAATGAAAACATAGATGTGTGCTTAAGTGGAAATACAAGATCTGATTTGACAACAAAAAGATGGCTGACCAAACACTGAAAAAAAAGTCAACTCAGCAGAGCTTGTCTCCCATAAAGGGATTAATTCAGGAGAGATTTCTTGTAAGAGACTATGAAGAAAAAACTCTAAATGTTTGCATTCCTAAATGTTTTATCTCCTGTAGATTAACTCCACAGATAGACTTCTCAAATGGATAAGAGATTTCTTTGACTTATCTTCAATTTGTTTTTTAAGAGAATGAACTAACACAGACACACATTCTAAAAGTTAAATCTGAGTTTCTTTCTGGCTTTTTTTGGTAATTTCTTAAATGATTGACATCAAACCTTAATACAACCAATCTAATTTGTTTTGTAACCATCTTGCACTGAAATTAATTAATTCTAAAGCCCAAGTTTTGAGTTACTCCCTCTGGGTCCTTGGCGGGATTGATTCTCTTTCTCTGGGCATTCTTTTCCCTGGGTAGCAGTGAAATCAGATTCCAAAACTTCTACGGTTGGCTTCAAAAAAATGGGCACACTATAGGATCATAGATTTAGAGGGAAAATGTGGTCCTCCATGGCCAGTTTGCATGTATTGGGATATGGAACCATTCTTGGTGGAAAGGCCATTTTACAGTATCTCACAGACCCACTCAGAATTATTTCACATCCTTTCCAGTGGTCGTTAGCCCTAGGTAATACTGACATTTCAAAATAGAAACCCAAGTTAGGGATCCAAATGGGAAGCGGGAGGATGGTGAAGCATACCTAGCTGATAGGTGTTTTCCATGTGAACTGCAGGGCGGGAAGCATCATCATGGTGGGTAGGCTCATCTACATAAGACACAGTACTCACTGAGCTAAGAATAACAATACAAAAAGTTTCTGTTATTAGCCTTACGGAAGAGAGCATCTCCAAATGTGCCAAAGGTCCTACTTTTGCTAAGAAAGTTCTAAGCAGGAACAGTTCACGTTTCCGTCTGCCTTAGAATTTTCCTCACCAAAACTCAAGTATGACCTGCAATGATTCATTCCATTTGCCATGAAATGAACAGGACCACAAGCCCTTCTTTAGGCATTATTTCTCCCTATTAGAATACGAGTTCCTTGAAAACAGGGACAATTTCAATGTCTATTTATAAGCCCAGTGCCTAGTGCGGTGCTCTGCCCATAGGAAGCCCTTAATAAATCCTTTTCTGTTCCATATGTATAATGCTCCATCATTTACAGCAAAAAAGATGGCAGTACAGGATGTCATCAGAGAAATGTCTGATGGAAAAAGAAGATGGATTGGTCATGTGGTAAGAGCAAGAGATAACTGCTGGACAGCCCATATGCTCCACTGATATAATTAAATGTCAGGAGAGTCTGAGGAAGGTCCTTTGCATATTGGGTGAACTCTCAATACATGCAAAGTTCCAAATGAGAGTTGCCCAGAGTGGGCAGGCATGAGTGACTTGTGATTCACATCATTGGAGGGCACATTCACACTAATGAGGCACGAATCCATTGTACTATTTGAGAACATTGTATCATTTACAAAGCAAATAAGTTAATAGATGCAAAGTGATTCTACAGAAGACATTAAAGGTACTTAGGGCAGAAATAGATCATCAGTGGAATTAGGAGATATAACTGGAGGCACAAAATAGCCCAGAACCATCACCTGGAGAACAGGGGAGGAATTAAGGTTATTACAACGAATCTTTTGCAAAAACTCTTTGGTGCTGAAAGAGGAGTCAGAAATGCCCCAAAGAGAAGCCACAATTCATCCTAAATCAATAAACACCCAAGACCCTTTTCACCACTGAGATAGGCTGTTTGGTTGGGCAAGTGAGGCAATATGAGCACACCCAGGTGGTGACCTGGAAGGGGAGATCCAAGGATGGAGGTACTGAGAGGTTTCCCAAGCCCCGCCCCAGTTCAGGTGAGTCTCAACGGACACTGCTTCATGGTGGCCTCTAAATGGGCCCCATTGACCCTGCTCCATCTGTGAGGTAAGCTAGGGTGTCACTTCAAAGGGGGGTGAGATAATAGAGGGGAGTGGGTGGGAAAAGGGCTTTTCAAGATTGGTAAAGTCTGTGTTTTCACCAGATAGAAGGTAGGGATGATTATTCTCTGTTATACTCATGGGCATTCAGCCTTTGGCAATGCAAAGGACTTGTTTGCTCTTTATTTTTTAGCGTTGAATAAGCTGATTTTGAACGAACTCTTTAAAAGCATCAGTTACACACACAATCTAGCATTATCTATGTTTTATTGAATTTTGAGTTATTGTGTTAAACATTTCCCAATTGCATTTTAATTTGGTTTAGATCACACTGAAGCCTCTATAACACACCATTAAAAAGTGTACATGACAGAAGGCAGATTGAATAGAGGGAAAATTAAAGTCTCCATATGTGTATTACTCCAAGAACAGGAATCAAGACTTACAGGCATGTTTGTAAAATAAATAATATGATTATATTTAGCAAATCATGATAATCCAAGAGTTGATCTTAACATCCATCAAAGGAATTCCTAACTACTTTAACTTTTTCCTTTAAAAATATTTCACAAATTGATTTGAACTTGAAGAAATTAAGGTCAAATGACTCTAGTGAATCTAGTCAACAATTTGTTAAGACTATGTTAATTAGTTTTTTAGAGCTTGCTTAAGATCTGTGTATTGACCTTTTTAAAAAAAATTAATTCACAAAATAAAACAAGCATTTCCATAACAGAGTAAAATAAAAACGATGATTGTGCATGAAACTATAAATCTACCATGTACATGTACATATGTATGTATGTATATAGCTAGCTATATACATTAATACACACAATCCATTGACAATTATCAAGTATGTATTAAGTAGCTACTACCTGTCAGACACTGTGCTAGGCACCAGAGATACAAGGACAAAAACAAAACAAGGCCTGCCTTCAAGGAGCTTACATATGCACATATATACCTCCACACAAACACACATGCATATATAAATATATGATATCCATGTAAATAACAACACAATATACACATATAATATAACCATGCGCACACACAATACACATGCATTTATATCCACACCTATCCATAAATATACAACACAATGTAAATGTGATACACATATGCATGAACATTCATATATAACATTTAAATCCATATATATATATATATAAATGTTACATGTATTTCTATGCAGTATATTACAGTGGAAAGCACACTGGATTTGGAGAGGACCTGGATTCTAATCCTGCCCCTTTTAATTACTACTAGTATGATCTTGGGGAAGTGATATAATTTCCCTGGGCCTCAGTTTCTTTACCTGTAAAATAAGCTGGGGGAGGTGCTCAACGGCCTATGAGGTCACTTTCAGAGCCATCTCTATGATCCTTTGACACACATTGATGGAATTGTGGGTACTTTAAATACTGAAAGATTACTCTTCATATTCATGGTGGCACGATGTTTGGACCCCAAGGCAGATGTGTGTGTGTGTGTGTGTGTGTGTGTGTGTATTTACTAAACATTTATTTCTCAATGTACAACTAACAAAAATAAAATATTGGTCATGGCTACTTAAAGAAGATGTATTAGGAGTCAGAGATTTTGGGTTCAAACCCCAGCCCTGCCACTTAGTACTTGTGTGACTTTGGGTGAGCCACTTCATCTCTATAGGCCTCAGTTTCCTCATCTGTAAAAAGAGGAATTGACCTCAGTGACTTCTAAGATGTCTTCCAGCTCCCAAGTTATCACCCTATGAGTTCATCTCCTGGCCCTGCCAACTTTGAACTGAGGAGCCTTGGACAAGTCTTACTACCCTTTCTGGGCCTTATTTCTTCATTTATAAATTAAAGAGGTGAGACTTGGTGATCTCAAGGTTTTTTCTAGCTTTAAATCGAGGCACCTACCTCTTGAGGCAGCTCCTTGTGCTTGGGGACAGGTCTAATTGTTAAGAAGCCTTCCGAGGTCCACCAGCTGTTGCTGCCATCCTTTTATCTCTGGTGCCCAGCATAGTGTCTGACAAATAGCAGGTACTTAATACATACTTGATGATTGTCAATGGATTAATTGTGTGTATTGATTTATGTAGCTAGCTACATATATGCCACGTACATATACATGGTAGATTTGTAGTTTCACATGCATCTATTCTGCATGGATCATGTATATACTGATTTATCTGCACATTCGAGCCCCCACTGTAAGCTTCTTGAGGGAAAGGGATGTTCTGGCTTTGTCTTTGTATCTCCAGATCTATATCTATTTTTAGTAGAGTCAGCTAATCAGGAAGACGTGTGTACAAATTCCGCCTCAGATGCTTACTGTGTGATCCTGGGTAAATTACTTATTCTCATGGAGCTTCAGTTTCCTCATCTATGAAATGGGGATAATTAACATCGTACTTACCACCCAGGGGCACTGTGAAGATCAAGTAAGGTAATATCTGTAAAATGCTTTGCCAAGCTTAAAACATAGATACAGAAATGTTGGCTATTGTCCTATCAGCTGAAGTGTTGGGTAAAATAGGCAAGGTACCTGTCTGGGACCTTCTTCTCCACAAAGTGCCATTGACTGTCTCTTTCCAGATGGCAGCCTTGAAGACTGTGGGCAGGGGTTACAGCTACCAGAGAGATGCTGCCACCCAGTGGACTCACCTTCTAAAGTCATCCCAGCTCCTTAGGGAAAATGAGATCTGGCCATCCAAGGGGAAGAGCCAGGTTCTCTGAATGCTTTATTCCTGGATAGGGTAAGAAGGTTTTGGATTTCTTTTTTCAAATCTGGGCAACAATTAAGAACTTTCTGGTCTATTACAATTCCGTTGAGAAACAAATCCATCCCTTCCTCTAAGCTCAGTGGAATGCTCAAGTATTCCTTCCTGATTTCACTCCAACCACAAATGCTCCTCTCCATAAATATTATATATTTATTTCATATTTATATCTTTATATTTATTTTTCACACATTGATGTTAGAATTTAAGGTCTCTGCATATGGACATTATTTCTTTCTTTATATTTGTACCACTAGCACCTAGCTCAGTGCTTGGCACATTGTATAAGATTAACAGATGCCAATTAATTGGTTGATTGGTTGATTGATTTGAACTAATCCAGAGCAATCTTAGTCCAAGAAAGGCCTTCTCAGGGAACTTTATTGTGGTTTTAGTGGCAAAGTGAATCCCTACTCCTGACCTCCCTTTATGCCCAGTCTCCCATTGGACACTGCATGAAGAGGAAGTGGGCCTTGCAAAAAATAATTTCAATAACATGTAAGTGAAAAGAAGCAGCATGAGTTTCATGAGTAGAGCATTAGATCCAGTGTCAGGAAGACATAGATTCAAATCTCACCTCTAACCCTTAAGTAGCTGGGTGACCAGGGCAAATCACTTCGGCCCTTTGTGCTCTTGGAAACTCTCAAAGACACTCTCAAAAAGTCTCAAATTACAGCTGAGTTTCTGATCTGCTTTGCTGGAAAGAGTTCTCATGCCAAGGAGTTCCTCTTGATGAAGAAATCACAGATCCGGGTAACAAATATGGAGTGCTTCCTTCCCAAGGTTCAAAGTAGGCTCAAAGGAGATCATGTGTGTCAAGTGTTTTGAAAATTAAAGGGTTATAGAAATGTCTTTTGTTCTTATATCATTGTTATGGCAACTCTTTCCACAAAAACACCTACAGGTCTTAGGGAGACTTTAGAAAACCTTAATAGACCTAATAGAACCCCAATAAAACATGGTGTAAGTGCTTTTTTGCCCAACTTGGTTCAAAGCCTTCTTGACCTCTCCATCAGCAAAGTGTTAGGAGTGCCTGGCCATTCCCTTTGGGGCCCAATTTCATTTTCCCTGAGAGGTTAAGGTTGACACTAGCACGTGTTCAGAGGCAGAACTTGAACCAGGCTTTTCTGGATTTAAAGAGCAGTCCTCTATTCCCCATGCTTTGCTGCCTCTCAAGGTATTAATTATTCCTATCTGACAAATGTGAATGACTAACAGTAAGACAGGTTGGGTTAGTTCAATAGAAAAAAAACCAGGTAGTGACCAGGCCAGGTTAATGGAATGAGCTCTGACTTGAGAGTCGTGGTACCTCAGTACAAATCTCCCCTCTGATACTTGATAGCATTGTTACCTGGGCCCACTCTCTTTACCTCCCTTGGACTCAGTTGGGCTAAATAGCCTCTAAACTCCCTTCCAATTCTAAGTCAGGGTAGTCAAGACAAGTTCATAAGCATTTATTTATTAAATAACAAGGAATTACATACAAGGTATACAGGGTGTCTCAAAAGATGGTGAAGTTTTAAAACATTAAAGCTTAAAATTACATCAAGACTTTGGGGGCAGCCTGTCTGGGCAGGATAAATTGGAAATTGTCCCAGAGAGTGGTGATACTATGGTCCTAATTCCATGAAGCCGGCTGATTCATCCCAAGGCTTGCCTGACCCCTAAGGAATCTGCTTCCTCTGTCATTCAGCTGCTGGGCTGGGTGCTGGCAGAATATAGAAGGGGGAAGCTCTGAGGAGCCACACTTCTTTGTGCTAGTTATGTGACATTCTTAGACCATCCTTCTGGTCTGGGGTCAGGCTCAATGGACCGTCTGTGTTTATAGCCATTCACCTCCAGCCTAATCTGGTGGTAAATTCTGAGTTGGAAAACTCAGCAGACATTCTCTGGCTGCCTGCAGATTCATCTTGGGTTACGCTAGGAAGGTAATTTAACCTCTATGTTTCAGATTCCATTCAAGACTGTGCCAATACCACGGACAGTTCCTGCAGCGTGGGATCTAAGACCCAATGTCCGCCAAAGATTGAACTCTCATCTCCTGCTGCTCTAGAAGGGGTGGGGAATAGTTTAGCCTGGTTAGCAGCAGCAGCAACAGCATCAATGATAGCTAGCATTTATGTAACACTTTCATGTTAGGGAATATTATCTCCTTTCATCCTTACAGTAACTCTGGGGGGCAAGTGCTATTATTGTCCTCACTTACAGATGAGGAAACTGAGGCACAGAACAGTTGTGACTTTCCTACTGTCACCCAGCTAGTAAGTGACAGAGCTGGCATGCAAACCTAGGTCTTTTGACTCTAAAGTCTTCTATTCTTTTCTCCCCGTGTATACTACCTCCCAATTTTTAAATAACCAGATTGTAATAAGAAATACTTTATGCTAAAAATGTACTAAACCTAGATGAATGTTCCTTTGGTACTGAAGGCACTTGGGACTCTATGCTCTGGCACAGAAACATCACTGTGAATATCAGTTACATCAATTGTATTGTTGTCAAGGACAGTAACTTGAAAACAGGGCTGCCACTGGGCTGCAACAACCTTATGGGATATCCTGGAAGCTGCTTTCCAGGATAATGCATTTTATCAAACTGTTTACTTGTCATTTGTCTTTCTTATAAGATCAGAAAGCAAATCGTATCCCTCTGCCCCAAACTGTAGGTATCTGAGCCTTTTGGCTAGGTGGATTTTGTGTAAAAGGATACTTAGTGCATTCCATTGCTAGTTAGGGATCTTTGTTCTCCACCTCCTATGCTAGAGGTGTCAAACATGCAATACTAGGGCCCCTGCCAACAACCAGATTAAAATATAGTTGGGAAATATTGAACAAAATAAATAAAAACACAATAGAACATAGATAATGCTATTATGTGGTTTTCTAAGTCAATATGTGGCCAGTGGAGGTGGGTGGGGAGGTATCTTTCTGTTTGAGTTTGACTCCACCGATCTCTACTACACCACTGCCAAAGTGATTTTGCCTAAAGCTCCATTCTAACCATGTAATTCCCCTTCTGTGGCTCACTTTTGCTTTCTAGGATAAGAGAAAAACTCCTCAGTTTAGCATTTCACAACCTAACTCCCACCTTTCCTTAAAGATTGCTTTCATATCACTCACAATCTTAATCCCATTTTTTAGTACTTAGCATGATCTACCTATAGAAGAAACATTTGTGATCAACACTCTGACCTTGTTGATCTAATACTGGAAATGGAGCAATTCCCGACGTGGCTACTCACTCTTTGGCCCTGCTGCGGATTTCCTTCATCTTGATGTCGGGGCTGCTCACGGATGATACACTGCCTCTTTTCTTCAGCAGCCGAGAAGCCTTATCTTTGCTGATCTCAGACATCTTGATCAGAACCTAAAGAAGCAAATGTCTAACCTAGTAGGGTAGAAATATGGAAACAGCTGGGTTTTAACCATGGTGGTGTTGGTAGTGATGATAACTGACATTTCTGTAGTATTTTAATACATTATCTCATTTGATTTTTGCAACAACCCAGTAGATAACCTGGTGCTACTATCACCATCATTTTACAGATGGAGAAACTGGGGCTGAGAGAGGTTAAGTGACTTGCAGAGGGTCACAAAGTTAGTGTCTGAGACCAGGGGGTAGTCCATTAGCACCCATATCACTTCTCTACTCAATAGACATCCGTGGCTCCGTAGTGCTTCTAGGATAAAATAGAAACTCTTCTTAGTTTTTAAAGTACTTCACAGTCTGGCTCCAAACTATCTTTCTAGTCCCATTATATATCATTCCCTTTCCTGTCCTCTAGGATCTACCCAAATCTCTCCATTCTTTATACACAACACTCCATCTCTCTTCTGTGTATGTTTGCCCTGGCTCTCCTCACCATATTGCACTCCTTCCTCCCCCTCAGCTCTTGGAATCCCTTTCTTCCTTCAAGCTAAGCTTGAGCACTACATGAAGCTCTTCCTGACCCCCTCCCCAACAAATGTTAGTGTGCTACCCCTCCTTCTATTGAACTACCTTGCATTCATTCCATTTATATTTATTCTGCACCTACTTGTATAGGTACTTCTTATCTCTCCCACTGGAATATATTTCCTGTGGGTAGGAATTGTTTCATTCTTTGTACTTACATCCCCAGGGCCTGGAACATAGTAGGGTCTTAATAAATGCTTGTTGATTGATCTGTATATCAGATTTACCAACCACAGAATCTGAAAGTTGGAAATGACTTTGAAGGTCAAATCCACCTAGTATCTGAGCCAGAATCCCCCTGCCCATTCTATAACATCTCTGAAAAGTAGCCATCCGATCTCTGTTGGAACCTCCTGACTCTTCTCCTGGCTTCCATTTGGGAAGAATCCACACAGTCGTGCTTACTTCAACCTGACTACGTGGCCTACTCACCACCCCCTCCCCCCTACCTTTGACTTTTTAGATCCCTTCTTTGTGTGGTTTTTCCCATTCGGAATGCAGACTCTTTGAAGACAGGGATTGTCTTTTTTTATGTTTGAATTTGCAGTCTCAGAATTTAGTGCAGTGTTTGGTTCATAGTAAGCACTTAATAAGTTCTCTCTCTCTGAATGTTTCTATCAGGGCAGCCAGGTGGTGCAGTGGATAGAGTACCAGCCCTGGAGTCAGGAGGACCTGAGTTCAAGTCTGGCCTCAGACCAGACACTTGACACTTACTAGCTGTGTGACCCTGGGCAAGTCACTTAACCCCAATTGCCCTAAAAAAAAAAACAAACAAAAGTCTGAATGTTTCTTTCTTTCTGTCTCTGCGTCTCTTTCTCTCTTCTCCCTCCCTCCAGTGAGGGGAAGCTTGTTACCTTCCAAGGCAGCCCCTCCTACTTTTAGATAGTCCTAATTGTTAGGGGATCCCCCTTCCCACAACCCATGGAGGCTCCATCTGCTGCTCTCCATGTTTCACCCACTGCAAACTAAGTCTGAGCCCTCTTCCAAATGACATCCCTTCAAACACTTGAAGACAGCCACAGTCTTCTCTTCCTCAAGATTGTTGTTATTGTTTGAACATTTCGGTCATGTCTGATTCTTCATGAGTTTTTTTTCTTGGCAAAGATACTGGAGTAGTTTGCCATTTCCTTCTCCAGATCATTTCGCAGATCCCTAATTCCTTAAATTTATCCTGAAATGGCATGAACTTGAGGTCCTTCATTAATCCGGTTGCCCTTTTCTGGATAGTCTCTCATTTAGGTTATTATTCAAAGATATTTTCAATAACTTCATTATAATAGAAAAAACACTTCTCAGAAAGAAAATGGACATTTATGAAAATGCTTAAATAGGACTTAAGAAGCTGAGTATATTCTAAAGTCAGATTTAAGAGCCTGAAGGGACCTTAGAGACATATCTAGAAAATTCCTTATTTTGCAAAGAAGGAAAGTGAGACCTAGAGAGGGAAAGTGACTTGGCCAAGTACACTATTTCTTAAGGAAGAATCAAGATTAGAACCTAAATCTTTGGACTCCAAGTTTTGTACTCTTTCCATTTCTCCACACTGAATGAGAGAAAAAATGAGAAAGCATTTGTTAAGCACTTACTACATGTCAGGCACTAAGCAAACTTTACAAGTGAGGTTTCCTCAGATGTTCTTCCTTTAAGGAGAGGTAACCCAGAGTAGTAAGGAACATTAGTGCAAAAAGCCTGAGTTAAAGTTCTGACCAGATTATTTATTTGCTGTGTGATCTTTGGCCATTTACCTGAACTTGTGACCATAGGCAGGGCAATCTCTCTGACACTCAGTTTCTTCACCTGTAAAGTGGGGATAATACTTGTTTTAACTACCTCACAGCATTGTTTTGAGAAAAGTGCTTTGTGAACTATAAAAAGCTTTAACAGTATGAGTGATCATTTAGAATACATGGGTTTATTCTGGCTATATCAAATTAAAATATTTTTAAAGTTAAAAATAGAATTGGTATCCCTCAACTTCTCTCAACTATAAGATAAAGAGGTAAAGATGCTAGGTTTCTGTTCAGTAGCTTTGTAGTTTTGTAATAGTGAACATTCATATAGTGGTTTACATTCATCTCTCTGGGCCTCAGTTTCCTCATCTGTAAAATGATAGAGTTTGACTAAATGACCTCTAAGTTTCCCTCTAGCTATAAGTCTTTGATCTCATGATTTTATCTGATCCTTATAACTATCCATTGAGGTGGTTAGTACATACATTGATATCTCCATTTTATACTATCTGAGCAGCTGAAACAAATAGAGATTAAGTGATTTATTCAAGGATACATAGCTAATATGTAGCAAAGATAGAATTTGAACTCAAGGCTTCTGACTTTGGTTCTAGAGCTCATTTGATTTCTGAATGGAAAAGCGGATAGTAGAGTTTGTGGCTTTGGTTCTTTGAGGTCTCCATAAACCCCAAGATGTGCCCTAGAAGAGAGAAGAGTTGGACCCTGGCTGCTATTCAATTTCCTCTTTTTGTCCTGTTTTTAGATCCTCAGTGATGGTGCAGGACTCTACCTGAGAAGGGAGAGGATTGCTCTACTTATCATGTTTGGGATTCCAGTCTCCAGACCAGTGACTAAGGAAGGACCATTAAGTTCCTTTTCCAGAGCACTGGAAGATGCAAAGGTTTTTTAAAATGATATTAGAAGATTATACCATTTAAATTTTTGTTATATTATATGTTGACAACACATTTGCTTCTTCAACAGTGTAGAAACAATCGAATTTAGTACCTATTTAGCAAGAATAATTAGCTAAAATCAGAAGCTCCCAGATGGCCAGAATTGTTAATAGGCCCCCCCCCCCCCCCGTATCATCTGCTTTAGTAACTTAATTCTGTCCCTCTCAACTGAACTTGTCTTCATTATGTTGTGCATTATTTTCACATCATGAATTACAAAAGTGATTTGAGGCGCTTGGGGGCTGCTTGCTTTGGGGAGCTAACGGGGATGGTGAATGGTTCATCCAGCCAGCAGGTGCACCTGTTAGCTGGGGAATCCTAGAACACCTGCAGCATAGTTGCTCCCTCCTGGGGAAAGGAGAGGCCTGAATCTCTCCCAGTTGATTATGATTACTTCCATCTTTTGTAACCTTGTAGCAAATCACATTATATACTCTATATCCCATTAAAGTGCCAGATGAACTTCAAAGCATATTTTCACAGAATCTCAGAAATGGAAGGAAGGGACCTCAACAGCTGTCTAGTTTAACTTGTATGAGGACAACAATTCCCATCACAGCATTATTGATAAGTGGTCACCCAGCTTCTCTTGGAAGACCTACAGCGATTGGAGAGGCTGTGACATCCCCAGGTAGGTTGGTCTTCTTTGGAGACTTCTAATGGTAGGGAAGCTTTTCCTGATGTTAAGTTGAATTTTTTTTCTGAGGTCTTTCTACTGACTCTGCCCTCTGGGGCCAAGCAGAAGAAATATCTTTTCTTTTCCACATGAAAATCTTTCAGGGACTTGAAGAGGGTCATTATGAGAACCCTATGTTTTCTCATTTCCCATTGAAATATCCCCAATTCTTTCAATTAATCTTTGTGTCACATGATTTTGAGTTACTTCATGATTCAAGTTGCCTTTCTCTGGATACCCTCCATTTCATCAATGTCTTTCTTAAAACACGGCACCCAGGATTGAACATTGTCCTTATTAGTTTTTAGAGAGGGAAGGGACATCAGAGATGATCAAATTCCACCCTCTCCTTTCCCTACTACCCTTGTCCATAAGTAGCTGGGTAGTACAGTGAATAGAGTACTAGACTGGAATTCAGGAAGATTTGGCTACATGACCCTGGACAAGTCACTTAACCTCTGGTTTCAGAGGTTTGTCTGTCTCAGTTTCCTCATCTGTAAAATGAGGATGATAATAGTACCTGCTTGCCAGGGTTGTTGTAAGGATCAAATGAAATATTTGTAAAGGGTTTTGTAAATCTTAATGCCCTATGTAAATATTAGCTATTATTTTTACAGATGTGGAGAGGAAGACCCAGGGAAATCACATGACTTATAGCACCCTATCCACTAGGTGGGGTCCTATTTAGCAACTCCCTCATTTTATATTTGAGGTGCAGAAATGTGAAATCCACTGTCACATAGTGCCAGGATTGGGATTCAAACTCAGATGCTCAGACTCCAAATACAGTTTTCTTTCTAATATATTATATGATCTGCATGAGCAATCAAGCCTTCAAACATTTTGGGGGATCCAGATAGTATGGCCAGTCTGCTCACCCCATTCACCCCAAAGTTCTACAGCTATCTTTAAACTTAGTGGTCTTCCAGACTCCACATGCTTGGTGGGCGATACAAAGAGAATATAATCAATCAATCAATCACAGGTTCACAGAGTTAGAGCACAAAGAGAACTTTGGAGATTGAGTCTAACCCCATCATCTTTACAGATGAGGAAATTAAGAGTTTTGTGAGGGAGGCAGCTAAGTGGTGACACTCAGTCTGAAGTCAGGAAGACCTCAGTTCAAATTGACCTTAGTTGGGTGTCTCTGGGCAAGCCACTTCTGTCAGCCTCAGTTTTCTCAACCGTAAAAGGGGGATAACAGCTTACCTTCCAGGGTTCTTGTGGGGATCAAATAAGATAATATTTTCAAGTGCTACTTGAATGCTGTGGATACAGTCAGACTTGGAGTCAGGAAGACTCATCCTCATGAGTTCAAATCTGGATTCAGACGTAAGCTGTGTGACTTTGGGCAAGTCACTTCACCCCTTTTGCCTCAATTTCCTCATCTGTATAAAGAACTGGAGAAAGAAATGGCAAAAAATTGCAGTATCTTTACCAAGAAAACCCCAGAAAGGATCACCGAAAAGTTTGTGAAGGAAAAACAACTGAAAAACAATCATTGGATGCTCTTTATTGTTAAGGCGACTGTCTAGGATTCTCAGCCTGCAGCCCGAAGGTGGGAGCTGCTCAGTTCTGCCAGGGTCAGGCTTGATCCCAGGGGTGCTTGGCAGGGGTTCAGTTCAGCTCAGGTTCTCTGCTCCGTGCTAGAGCAGTCTGGAAGTGAAAGCCTAGACTGAGGCAGGCTGAGGGCGGAGGGGCTGCGGTCGGCGCTCCTCGTTTCTGAAGGTGGGGAGCGTGAGGGGGTCCGAGCTGGGGGAGATCGATCTAAGGATCTAAGGGCCATAGGTGCCCCCCCTCTACTTCAGCCGGGCCAACCATGCTGCTTGTACGGCCTTACCCCTTTCCTTTTTCCCATTCCGTTTTGCGATGCGATGGTTACCCCAGTCTTCATCTGGTTCCCCCCTCAGCCCCCAGAGCTGGCTTGGAAAAACAGGCTTACTCACTCTCTGTCAGGCAAGGCACGCAATGCATCCCATTCAGCGCAGGAGCGCCCAGAGCAACGCCGGACCCTAAGTGTCTCGGGTGCGGAGTTCTGCCGGGCAGGGCAGGGCAGTGCCCCCGCTCGGGGCACCCCAGTCGGCTGGCTAGCTGGTGGGCGGGCGCTCCGGGCTCCCCAGGTCCTCCCGAGCGGGCAGAGCACGAGCAGCGCCTGGCTGCTGTCCAGCGTCTCCAAGGCTACCCGTCCAAACAAGGGGGCTGTAGCCCGCCTCCGGACCCGCCCACTGCAGTCAGGTGGTCCGTCCTGGGAGCTGCCCCTCCCCCCCAACTTCTTCCCCTCCCCCGCACCGCCCCTCTGGGTCCTGGGGCACCCTGGGCACGGCCCCGGAGCAGGCGTGGGCAATGCCCTCTGTCTGGGGAGGGTTGTCCGGAAAGCTCTCCCCCAGCGGCGCCCCCCGCCCCAAACAGAGGGATGTCCAGGGATAAAGAGGACCGAGGGTGACACCACCAGACCCCTCAAATGTTCAGGGCTTTGAGTCAGCCGGCTTGGATTCAAATCCCACTTCTGCCTGTGGACCTCGGGCAAGGTACCCGACCTCCGTGGGTTTCGTTTTCTAATCGTTAAGATACTTGAGTCAGTCAACCTACTATCAAGTGCCAAGAAAGGCGAAAGACGGTGCCTGCTTTCAAGAAGCTCCTAGTCTAATGGGGGAAGCCACACTCAACAACTATGCACCCACAAGATCTAGGCAGGATCAATCGAGGGTTTTCCTAGACAGACAACACCAAGCTTAAGGACGACTTTTTGCAGAAGATGGGACTTTAGCTGAGGTTCAGAGGAAGCCAGGGAAGCCAGGAGGGGGACCTGAGGAGGCAGAGAGTTTCAGGCTTGAGGAAAATGCTAGGATGTTGGTAGATGGAATGTAGAATTCAAGGAACCCCAAGGAGGCCAGTGTGAGGGATAAGACTGCAAAAATCGGAAGAGGCCAAGTGATAGATGACTGTGGAAGCCAGACAGAGGCTTTTACATTTGATCTTGGAGTTATCAAGGAACTCTGGAATTTGTTGAACATGAGGGTGACATGGACAGAGCTGTCCTTTAGGAAGATTACTTTGACAGCTGGGAGGAGAATGGACTGGAGTGGGGAGAGATCTGAGGCTGGAAAATCCACCAGCAGTTGTAGCAACAGTCCAGGAGCCAAGTGATAAGGTGCACCAGGGTGACGGCAGTGTCAGTCAGAAGTGGGCTTATTGGAGAAATGTTAGGAGGATAGAAGCAGGGTCAGATTTTATATTCTTGGACTTACAGGTCACTGCAGACTGTGACTGCAGCCATGACACTAAAAGATGCTTGCTCCTTGGATGGAAAGCGATGGCAAATCTGGACAGCAGACTAAAAAGCAGAGATATCACCTTGCCAACAAAGGTGCATATATCAAAGCTATGGTTTTTCCAGTAGCAATGTATGACTGTGAGAGTTGGGCTGCAAGGAAAGCTGAATCAATGTGGGGCAGGAAAAGGCTATTGAGACTGCCTTAGACAGCAAGGAGATCAAATCAGTCAATACTTAAAGAAATTAATTCAGACTATTCATTGGAAGGTCAAATACTGAAGGTGAAGTGTAAATACTTTGGCTACATAATGAGGAGATGGGACTCATTGGAAAAGACTCATGTCGGGAAAATTGAAGGCAAAAGGAGAAGGGGACAGTGGAGGATGTGATAGATAAATAGGGTCATGGAAGCAATGAACATGAGCTTGGACAGACTTTGAGTGACAGTGGAGGATAGAAGGGCCCTGTGTGCTATGGTTCCTGGGGGAACAAGAAGGGTCAGACATGACTGGACAATGTCAAAATATAAAGGTAGAGACTCTAGGCCTTGATGACTGTTTGGATACAGTGGGATGGCACCTCTGTTAGCAGCCTGAGTGACCAGTATATTTATTTTGCATCTGTCACGAATGCCCATATATGTACTTGGCTCTTCTGTAGATTGTAAACTCCCTGAGGGCAGGGTCTATTTCACACTGTGTCTGGCACAGAATGGGTGCTTGATGAGAGCTTTTTGGTGATTGGCTGTTCTAGTCTAACTGCCTTATATGATAACATGAAGAGTAAAGCTCTTGGGCTTCTATCCTGAGGCTACGATTTTGTTTGCTGTGGCACCTAGGCTCCCTCTCCGTTTGGAAAATGTTGGGGATGGTAGATGAGGGCTGGATTGCTGGGAAGAACGCTCAGTTGGGAGCCAGGAGATCCGGGCTTGGGCGCTAGCTTTGCTATTCACTCGTCCCACGGACTTGGACGAGTTTCTTCATTTGTAAAAGGAGAGGCTTGGACCCTGGGCCGGTAAGAAGTCCCTTCAAGCTCTAAATCTATGGTCTGATGATCTATGAACAAGTGGATTAAATTCCAAAAATTCATTTGTGATTTGGCCTTTCTGTTTAACCTACCACCCACTTTACAGATGAGGAAACTGAGGCAAACAGAATTAAGTGACTTGCTCAGGGTCACTCAGCTAGTAAGTGTCTGAGTCTGGATTTGAACTCAGGTCTTCATGACTCTAGGCCTGGCACACTGTCCACTGCACCACCTAGCTGCCTCCACTGAGTGTGATCTTGGGCAAATCATGTCATCTCTCTGGCCCTCAGTTTCCTCATTTATATGTAGCGGGGATAATACTGGAATGCTCCCTCCTCTCAGGAATGTTGTCCACTCCCCACCCCAGGCTTGCTCAATGGGATGTGTTCCAAAACCTCCCTTAGCTATACGTAAAATCAGGGAACTGGATTAGATGACCAGATTTCGCTCTGTGACCTTCAAACATATCTAGATATACCTATATGGGACCTCACTACACTTCAGAAGCACCTTTTATTGGTGCTTCAAACTCAGTGTGTCCCAAATAAAATTCAAAAGGCATTGTCCCCTCAATTTCCATCTGACTTCACTTGTATCTGCAGCATCACCATTCCCCCACAACATGGGGGCTGTCTCCGACCCTACTCTCCCTCCCTCATCTGGTATCAAACCACTTACCAAGTCTTCTCGAGTACCTTATAGAAACATTTCTCCCATCTACTGGTTTCCCAAGCTATAGTCCAAGTAAGCTCTTAATAGCCTAGGCTAGAACTGTTGATCTTATTAGCAGCATTTCCTGCACCCCACTCTTGGACAAGTTAGTTAATTTTTCTGGACTTTAGTTTCCTCATGGGTAAAATAAAAAGGCTGCAGTTTTGTCCCGTGAAGTTCTTTTCAGCTTGAAATCTCACCCCATGGGATGGAAAGAGGTCTGGGCTATCCACTCTGGACAGTGCAGCTTTCCCATCAGGTGATGCTCCCGAAGGAAGGTGACTAAATAAGGCATTTTCTTGCCTCTGTTATGGTGTTCGGGGCAGAGTGTCCCTTGCCTAGCACCACTGTGCTGCTGACTATTGTCTCTATAATTTCCATCTGGCTACTTGTCCATTCACTCTATTATCATTCTATATTAGCATGAAAATGCACCAACAGTTTCCCTTTATAATAAAAAAAACTCCACAGTCCAAATACACTGTTCTCATAGTTTTCATTTATTTTCCAGAAAAAAAAATCACATTTCAATTACAACTTATTCAGACACTCCCTCTTGTTCCTTGGTATAGAATGATTCCACTTTGCTCTGTAATGGAAACCCTCCCCACAGTAATCTGTCAGGTCAAGAATTGCATAATCAGTATTTTGTGACATGAGTCAAAGGGGGTGGGTGGGAATATGGAGGAAAACATTTATAAAAAACCATTATTTACCAAAAAAAGCAATATCCACAGATCAGTATCCTAATCTATAAGGCAAGTAACATTAAAATGTTGTTTCATGATTATCTTCACCAACTCAATACAACAGGTTCATCTCACCATGGTCCAGCACTGTCAGAGGCTGTAGCCAGTTAGATGCTGAAGGTTGTCCGATGCTGCCGACAGCACACCATGCTGCCTGCCCACATCGACTTTTCTCTGAGAACACTGGCTGCACAGTAAAGCTTTCATTACAGACGGAGCAGTTCATAGGGTATCATAGAATAAATTGCACATGGAGGCAAAAAGGCCAGGCATTTAACTTAAACTTTAAAAATATACTTGTGTGTATTTTCATCCACAATTCTTATAAACATTTTATACACAAAGTATTTTATAAAATGATAGAGCTACTTGATACAGGATCAGAAAGGGAGAAATCCACCCCACTTCTGCTCCTAGGGGGTGGGGGACAGAACAACAGAGGAATCCCATCCCCCATATCAGAAAGTGCCCTAGACTCCCAAACTGCCAGTGGCTCCTCAATTCCCACTTTACTCAAAGTACATGGCATTCATTAGACAGTAGTTTTCCCTGGAAACAACATAGTTGAATTTCATTACTTTTAAGA